CCACTTTCGCCTCTAATGCAATCGGTATGCGTCTTACTGGTTGCTGGACTGGCCGTACACTACGATCTATTGCTAAACTAACTTTAATGTTTTTAATTTTTGGAAATGTCTCTTTATTTCCAATTCGATGGACATTTAAGCCTACTCTCAAAACATTAAGTTTTACTGCTGAGTCACGCCCCAAGAGTGATTGACTTCCCTTTTCAATAACATAAAAGGTAGCAATCATTTCTGTATGCGCTGTAGCGATTGGCGCGTCAAAAACCTGTAACACTTTCAAAAGCTTGTCCGCGGCGTACGCTTTGAATTGATTGGGAGAGTGGGACCGGATGTTCCACACTACGCCCTGTCCGTTCCTTAATTTCGACCAATCTCCTTCACTTATTAGATTAAACCGAGACCCAGAATCTATTACCATGTCAATCGTTTGACCACCAACAGAGCATGTAATCATCTCATCGCTCATATCATTATCAATTTTAAAGCAGTCGAACTCCCGCATTTCTTCAGATGTCGTCTCACCCTCATCGTTTATGCAACGCACTCTAGATGTAGTCATGCGCCGCCGTTTCGGGTTATCATAACTACCACTTCCGTGTTCGCGTTTGACCCTTTTTGTTTTACACTTCACTGCAAAATGACCCTGTAGCATACATTTATTGCATTTAGCATTCTTAGCCGGGCAGTTAAAGCTTTTACTCATATGCCCTTTACGCCCACATCTATCGCATTCAGCAGCATCAAAACTAGTTTTGTTAGCGATTTTGTTTACGGCTAGTGGCACTATGTCAGAAGACATTGTTGTCGTTTGGCTTTTTATTGCTTCGTGTACTTGACACATTTCAACCACCTGCGTTAAATCATGTTCTTTTTCTAGGAGCCGTTTTTTCAAATCTACTGGCGCCCACGCATCGATAAGCTTATCTTTTATATTCGTTTCGATGACCTCTTTCTCGGTCTTGCCAAATTCACATTTAGCAGCTTGCCCTCTTAGTTTCAAAATGAATTTATTTAGAGTCTCCCCTTCCACTGGTTTCAGGGACCTAAACAGGTGTCGTTCGAAAGTCGAGTTTCTCCTTGGAGAGAAATGTTGTGTCAGTTTGCCCACGAGCACCTCGTACGGATCTATACCTTCTTTTGCTTCTACCAGCGCGTCTGGAATATTATACACGACTTCTTGTAGTTGAGCACCGCCAAGGTGTAGCAGTTTACTTCTTTTTTTAGACGCAATGGTAATGTCTTCTGCTTCTAAGTACAGCGTAAACGATCGAAGCCATTTTTCCCACTCTGTTCGGATTATCGACTTGTCCATCACGTCGCATAGAAATGGTGCCACACTGGGATTCATCATTTTCTTTGGATAATTATGCCTAGAAATAAAACAAATTTTTGCTTCGATAACTATGTATGTACATACATATGCATTCCATTAACAGAGTTTTTTGTATGTGAGCAAACTTTCGCTCGACCCCAACCCAACATAAATGCACACCGTCTATTCCTGTATCATCAAGTTCTCATACACGTACGTATAACATTTTGTTATGCAATTTTACGACTAGGACAAATAATGCTTTATTTTCCTGTATTAACGCACGCCGTGCGTCCATGCTAGATTCGGTTATTGTCACATTCATCTTGTTTGTTGACATTGCTGTCAAATAGAATACATATATATGTACATTCGTATGCTCAATTTACGAATTGTCTACTCTTTGTTTAGTGCAGCTTAAACCAGAACTCCATGGCTGGTCCAATGAGCGTTGTTGGCGTTGCAAAATTCCACCTCGCCTGTCAGCTATTCAATTTACACGGCTAACAATCGTGGTGAAAGTTGCGTACGCCTCCAAGTCTAAAGGACGCGCATGGAGTTGGGCCTTTGTTAATGTGGATACACATTTTAGTCAACGACTTTTTTGTTTGCTTCTTATTTGCATTCTCTTGCAATTTAATGCTACTACTCTTTAATATTCTTTTACCTTTATGTTTGTATGTCTATGCAATTTAATGCCAGCTCTCATGGGCAATCGAATGCCTACCCCGAATAGCAATTCAATGTTTTTGCAATTTAATGCCGAATTTTCTCTTTATCTTTTTTCAGATTCTTTTCAACTGGCAATTTAATGCCTATGTAATTTAATTCCAAATTTTCTCTTTTCTCAAATTTCTTTCAATTGACAATTTAATGCCTGTGCAATTGAATGCCGAAATTTCTTTTATTTTTCAGGTTCTTTTCAACTGGCAATTTAATGCCTGTGCAATTAAATGCCGAATTTTCTCTTTAAGTTTTCTTCACGCACTCACACTTGTGCAGGCAATCGCAATTCAGTCGGCCTCGCACACTACTTGTTGCTTTTGTTTCGTTTTTTTTTTCCCAACTGAATTGCGCAGTCCACTTTATTTGCAAAATGTTCGCTCCACTTTTAGATTTGGTTACTTTATCTTCTTTAATTTTTCTCTCGTCGCCACTGTATTAACTGCTATATTTACGAACAAGTATTTATTATGAAATACAACTTATTAAACCACAAATATCAAAGTACAAAGTATTATAGCATTAATCTCAACCGCACTCAATGACTCGCATTATTCCTTTATTTCTCGTTTCTCCTCGTTCCCTATTTGCATCGGTGTCGTTGCCAGTTGTCATCAATCACTAGGGTTGCCACATCCCTCCTATTTTTTTTAGCTTCAACTTAATCCCTTCTTGCTGAACTGATGGTGGGTCGCCGGTGCACACGTTTGAAACAGGTGGTGATGTGACCTTAGCCGCTGACTCAGGACGTAGTAGCCCTTGTGATGTTCCTGCCTCCTCCGCGCCTGAATTTCTGGATAGTGTTGAATATTGTTCCATTGGTGAATCTAACAATGTTTCTGGTGCTTTCTCTGACTCGCTGGCTGGTTGTTGGTTAGCGGAGGGAATTTTCTTAACATGGCTGATGTTCCTTCGCAGCACCTTACCATCGCCTGAAAGCTTTACTTCATCGCCGTGCCTCTCAACCACAACGTATTCGGTTGCATCGAAATTTGGTGTTAACTTGTGCGGGAATACTACGTTCTTCACAAGCACAACATCCCCAACTGCTATGTCCGAGCTTTTTGCCCGTCTCGCTGCATCAGCCTTCTCTTTTCCCTTATGTTTATTTATGCAGTCCAAGTCTTTTGCCGACGAGTCAACGATTTCTTCTGTTAGATCACGTATGTCTGGGATCTTGTCGCGAATGGTTCGATTAAACATTAATTCCGTTGGTGTAGACCCGGTTGTGCTGTGAGGTGTCACGTTGTACATCATTAAGAATTTCTGTACCTCTGACTTATAGTTCACCTTGTTAGAGTGGGCAATTTTCAAACGCTTCACTAGTGATCGATTCATGTTCTCGACCTCTCCGTTAGCTTGAGGCCAGTACGGCGGCGTTGTGACTTGCTCAATGTTATTCTCTCTACAGAATTCTTTAAACTCATTGCTGACGTATTGTCTTCCATTGTCGGTACGCAAGGATTTAGGTAACCCTAGTCTAGAGAAGATGTCTTGCATCGCTTTTATAACAGCTTCGGAATTTATTTTTCTTAAGAACACAACCTCTTGATAGCGCGAGAAATAATCTATCAATACGAGTAAGTACTCCCCGTTGGGAAGAGGACCTAGTAAATCCGTTGCCACACATTGCCATGGTCCGTCAGGGAATCTGTGTCTTTGCATTGGGGTTGGATTGTTTGGTAGCGATACCAGCAAACAGTCTCGGCAGTTTTTAACAAAACGTTCGACCTCTCTGTCAATCAGGGGCCACCAAACCTTCGCTCTTAGTCGTCTTTTCATCGCCGACTCCCCTGGGTGCCCTTCGTGTGCGAGTTCCAGTACTCTTTGCCGTAGAGATTCGGGAATCACAATGCGTCTCCCACGCAGAAGTATATTGCCTAGCACAGAAAGTTCTAGTCTGAACGGATAGTACATATTGGACGTTCCCGAGCTCCACGAGTTGTTGCTTATGTGACTGATTGCATCAGTTATGTGATCATCTCCTGTACTTTTGTTATCAATGATGGTTACTGTGAGAGTTGCTGGCACGGAGCTACACACGATTTGGAAAATATTATTTTCGCAGTTGCTATCAAATACGTCACCACTTGAAAACTTAACTAGTCTCGATAAGGGGTCCGCTATATTTTCCCTTCCAGCGCGATAAATTACTTTAAATTTGAAAGCTTGCAGTCTTAGAAGCCAACGTTCAATTCTGGCAGGTGGCTTGGATGTCGGTTTAAAAATAGCTTCAAGGGGTTTGTGGTCTGTGACCAGTTCGAATTGTAATCCTGCTAAATAATAATAAAATTTCTCTACCGCCCACACTAGAGCCAAGCTTTCTTTCTCTGTTTGCGAATATCTTTTCTCAACGTCTGAGAGGCTTTTGCTAGCAAATGTAATTATCTTCGGATCCCCAACGCTGTCGAATTGAATTAAAACTGCCCCTAAGGCTATCGGGCTGGCATCAGCTATTACGCGCGTTCTGTTTTTCGGATCGAAGAATGCCAACTTGGGTATTTGTGCTAGATAAGCTTTCAGTTTTTTAAATGCCTGTTCTTGATTGCAACCCCAGATGAAGGTGCTATTTGATTTTAGGAGACTCCTCAAAGGCTCAGTAATATCCGCTAATTTTGGTATAAATTTCCCTATATACGTAACTAGGCCAAGGAAACTTCTTACCTCGTCTTTGGTCTTTGGCGCTCGAAATTCTCCAATTAATTTCACTTTCTCTGGATCGGCTGTGAACCCTTGTTCCGATAACATGTGCCCCAGAAACTTTAGCTCCTTCACTTTCCAGGCGCATTTATCTGTGTTTAATACGACACCATTCGCATTAAATATTCGCATGACGTCCCTTACCGCTTCGTCGTGTTCTTGTTCCGAGCTTCCGAATATGATGACATCGTCGATATAGTTGAGAACGTTTTTGCAAGGTGATAGTAACTCTTCCATTATGCGTTGGAAAATCTCAGGTGCCGAATTCACGCCGAACATTAACCTTTTGTACCGAAATAGTCCTTTGTGTGTGATAAACGTCGTTATTTCTCGGCTGGCCTCATCGAGTTCAATTTGGTGATATGCGTTTTTTAGATCCAGCCTCGAGAAAAATTTTGCATGTCTTAGTTTTGTCATGAAGGAGTCGAAGGTGGGTAGGGGGTAGTTTTCACGTAGTATGGCCTCATTTGCGCGCCTCATATCGATACATAGCCTTACGTCCCCATTAGGTTTAAATACTATGACAACTGGTGATATCCACGAACTTGGCCCTGGAACTTGCTCGATTATGTCTTGTTGTAATGCTTCATCAATCTTTTCCCCCACTTTCGCCTCTAATGCAATCGGTATGCGTCTTACTGGTTGCTGGACTGGCCGTACACTACGATCTATTGCTAAACTAACTTTAATGTTTTTAATTTTTGGAAATGTCTCTTTATTTCCAATTCGATGGACATTTAAGCCTACTCTCAAAACATTAAGTTTTACTGCTGAGTCACGCCCCAAGAGTGATTGACTTCCCTTTTCAATAACATAAAAGGTAGCAATCATTTCTGTATGCGCTGTAGCGATTGGCGCGTCAAAAACCTGTAACACTTTCAAAAGCTTGTCCGCGGCGTACGCTTTGAATTGATTGGGAGAGTGGGACCGGATGTTCCACACTACGCCCTGTCCGTTCCTTAATTTCGACCAATCTCCTTCACTTATTAGATTAAACCGAGACCCAGAATCTATTACCATGTCAATCGTTTGACCACCAACAGAGCATGTAATCATCTCAT